ATGCACCCGAGGTTACCTGGGACTCTTGTCTATTTCCTACCTCCTGGTGGATAGCTAAATAATCTTCATCAGGTTCATCTTCTTATTTAGCTTCTCTAGGATCACGAATAATAGGCTCAAAGACCTTTAATTATGGTTAGAATCCACTTATGAGTGAATACATACCGTGTTCCTCTTTTTGGGTCTGGCTTACCTCACTCAGTAAAGCGTTTTCTATTTCCATCCATTTGCATGCAAAATTCAAGATGTCATTGTTTTTTACCGCTGAGTAAAACTCTAACGTGTATATGTTCCACACCTTTTTTAACCATTCTTCTATTGAGGGGCACCTAGGCTGTTTCCAGGTTCTGGCTATTACAAATAGTGCTGCTATGAACATAGTAGAACAAATGCTTTTGTAGTATGTTAGGGAATCTTTAGGGTATATTCCCAAGAGTGGAATTGCTGGGTCCTGAGGGAGGTTGACTCCCAGTTTCCTGAGAAACCGCCACACTGATTTCCACAGTGGCTGCACGAGTTTGCATTCCCACCAACAATGGATGAGTGTTCCCCTCACCCCACATCCTCTCCAGCATAGGCTATCGTTGGTGTTTTTGACTTTAGCTGAGAATAGCTCAATATTTTGATTGCATTGGTAGGCCCACAAATCTATACATGTGATAAGAGGGGATAAAAGTGGACACATGTGTGCCTATGTCAAATGTTCTGGTATTTATCCTTTCTAGTACATATTGTGTGTAATGTACTTATTGAGGGAGGCTGAGTAAAGGGAACTTCTTGTAAATCTATACATTCTTTCAAGATACAACATTGAAAAGTGGACCCAGGGAGATGGCTCAGAGGATAAAATCCTTATTGCGCAAGCAAGCATAAAGGCCCGAGTTCCAGTTTCCAGTGCTGGTTTTAAAAACAAGTGTGACGCCAATGGTTGACAGGGACGTGACTTCTGGGACCTTGCTGATCAGACAGATTAGCCGAAATGACAAAGTCCAGCTTCAGTCACAAGTCCTGTCTCAGAAACTAAGGTGAAAGGATAGAGAGATGACTCAGCCATTGGAAAACAGAGGTCCGGAGTTCAGGTCCCAAAAGCCACCCTGGGAGGCTCACAGGCTATTGTAACTCCAGTTCCAGGGGATCCAGTGCTCCCTTTTGTGCTCCTTGGGCATCTGTGCTCACATATGAGCACTCGTGATTAAAATATAAAAATAGATCTTTAAGGAAAATCATGCGATGAAGAAGTGATTGAGGAGGACATTCTAATGTCAGGCATACAGCCATATGGATGAGCATACCTGTGCATGCAGATCTGCATGCACACACCACATGCACACGCACACACACACACACACACACACACACACACACACAAAGTGAAAAAACTATAGAAATGGACACTGAAGTAAACGAAAAAGAAAAACTTTAAAGTATAATCCTGTATTTCTTTTCAGTGGCCTACTAAACACTTTATTTTCCAATTCCCCTTTTGTAAGAAGCCTTTTCCCCAAATACTCCATAAATCCCTTGCCTCTCTTTTGGTGGTGTTGATGTTGAAGCCCAGGCTGACCTTAAACTTATGATGATCCTTCTGCCTCAGTTTCCAAATACCGGGATTATAGGCATGTGTCACCAAGTCTGGCCACTCCTTGACTCAATGTGTGTTGGGTGTATGGGTACCATGCATGCTAGGCCATGCTGTATGAACAAGCATCATCCACAGCCTCAAACCTTAAGATGAAAAATGAAAGTTTGTCCCTAAGTCCGTACTTCTAATTCTCAAGGAGCACAGGCTGGCGATGTCATTTAATTGTGGTGGTTAGTTTTTGCAACTTGACACAACTGAGCCTCACCTGGGAAGAGTCTCAATGAAGGATTCTCTACGTTAGGTTGAATTGTGAACATGTGCGAGGGGAGGGTTGTTTTAATTAACTGATGTGGGAAGAACGAGTCCACTCCAGGCAGCACCAGCACCATCACTAGGCAGAGAATCCTGAACTATCTAAGAGTGGGGAAACTGAGCTGAGTGCAGGCGCGTGGGCGTTTATGCGTTCATTCTTCTTTGCTTTTTTTCTTGTAGATACGCTGTGGCTAGCTGCTTCCAGGTCCTGCCACAGAGGCTTGTCTGCTAGGATGGACTGTAACCTAGAATTGTAAAGCTAAAACAAACCCCTTTCCCTTGGTTGCTTTTTTTTTCTTTTAGAGACAGAATCTCACCATGTAGCCCTGGCTGGCCTGAAACTCACAACGTAGACCAGGCTGACCTGGAAATCAAAGACCCCTGCCTGCCTTTGCTTCCTGAGTGCTAGGATGAAAGGTGTGTTTATGCCACCATGGTCTCCTTCAGTTACTGTTCGTGAGGCAATTTTTATCCCAGCAACAGAAGAAAACCAGGACAGAAATTTGTACCAAGGAAGTGGGGCCATTACTGGGATAACCCTAACTGTGTAGCTTTCTTTCTTGTGATATGTTTGAAGACAGAAATCCTGACAGATGTGCAGAAACTGGAATCCTAGCTCATGGAGTTTTAGAGAGTAACAGAGACTCTATCAAGAACAGAGGCTATGCTTTCTCTCTCTCTCTCTCTCTCTCTCTCTCTCTCAGACACACACACAGAAAGAGAGTGAGAGACAGACAGACAGACAGACAGACAGACATGGGAAGGAGGCTGGAGGGGGGGTTAAACAGCGTCTTTCTATATGTCCCTGACTGTCCTGGAACTTCCTATCGAGGCCAGGCTGCCCTCAAACTCAGTGACCTACCTGTCTCTGCCTCCTGAGTGCTGGAATTAATATGTGCTACCATGCTTGGGAAGACGGTGTGATGACATGACCAATGTTCTGTGTGTGCTCATCATGCTAAGGCTGAATAAGCAGCTGCCATGATCATGGACATCAGCATCCCTATAGTGAGGCTTCTAGTGCTGTACCGGGACAATAGGGAAGTGTGTTCTCAGGGCCAGCACCCAGAAGCTGGGTTACACGTTGAACTGGCAGCAGAATGTAGCAATGTAAGCGCTGTCAACATGCTGCTGGCATGAAAGATGCAAGATTGAGGAAGTTGTAGAGAACATGTAAGGCCTGTACTCTTGATCTGGTCAGAGTCCTTGTTGAGAGAAGCCTTAAGAAGCCATTGCAGGGGACTGTGAAAGTAAAACCTCAGTTGCAATGGAGAACTCAGTATACTGGAGATGATATAGCCAGGTCAGGGAGTGTCCACTAAGGGGAGCTGAAGATGTAAGGTGGTGTGGGGGGGCTAAGCCCAAGAGCAAAGCTTGTAGACATGGCAGGTTGTATATGTGGAGGGATGGGGATACCCAAGCCCTTTGGTGACAGGATTACATAACGAGCCCCAGATGTTGGACATTGGAGCTACAAGATTTGGTATTTTCCTAGCAGAATTTGGCTCTGCTTTCATCTGACCATTCCTGTACTGCTCCAAGTTTTCACTTTTGAAACAAGAATGACTGCTCTGTGCCATTAGATGTTGGAAGACCATAGTTTATTTTTATTTTATAGGCGCTCACAAATTAAGAGACTTGCGGCTTTTAAAGAGACTTGGGACGTCTAATGTCAGACTGTATTTTACACTATGAGAATGAGACTGGGGACAAGGAGTGGAAGGCCGTGGCTTAAGAGTAAAGTATTTGTGTGTTGAGTTGACAAGAGGTGGAGTGTGGTAGTTAGCTGAGAATCATCTGGAAAGGGACTCATCTCGGTTGGCCTGTGGCCATGTCTGTTGGAGGTTGTCTAAACTCAGTTCATTGATGTGGGAAGACCCAGATCACCATAGGCGGCACCACTCCCTAGGCAGGGAATCTTGAAGGGCATGAGTGGAAAGATCAAGCTGAGCGTAAGCAAATGAGCAAGTGAGCATGGTGTAATGTGTGTGTTCGTTTCTCTGTGCTCTCCACTGTGGGTGTGATATGACTAGTCATTTAAAGTTCCTGCCTTAACCTCCCTACAGTGATGGAATTGCAAGGTGAAATAAACCTTTTCTTCCATTAGTTGCTTTGATCAAATAGTTTTGGTTTATTTTAAATGATTTCTTTACTTTTATGGTATGGTATGGTATGGTATGGTATGGTATGGTATGGTATGGTATGGTATGG